CTCTGTATCTATTGACTGCCCTTTTTGAGCAAAATGAAGGTGTTTTTATAAAGCTTGGATGCCAATGAGAGTTATTTTATGGTAACCACATGCAAGGCAACCATCAGCATCATGGGAGAAGAGATTCCTAGGATGTGAGTCCCTGGCAGAGGCGTCTGGTTGGTGCAGGCAGCCTGGCCCCCTGCCTGGGTCCTGCAGCTCTGCAGTTAGAGCTAGTCAGGCCGATGTAGGCTCGTCCGACTCTTCCTTCAGTTAGACTTTGAGTGACCTGTGCGCATCTGTAAAGGCAAACCAGAGAAACCACCCTACGCAAAGCACTCTGCTTCACTGTGTGTGCTGCTGGCCCTTTCTGGGGTTCCTCTCCTCAGCTGCCTGGGGTGTTTTTAGTAAACATCTCACTTCGTCGGCCAGTACCGTTCGGCAGCCATTGGCAAAGTGGATACACTGAGTTCAGTCCTGACAGCTAGGGGTCTTTTTATACATGGAGAACATTGTCAGATACAATTAAGGTTTACTCTGTTGCCTCTTGGCAAACATAATGATCCGAGCAGGTGAAAGAATCACTTTAGGTTTCTGTGAGGACGGAGTGGATGAGCAGCAAAGAAGAGCGCCTTTTAGCAAGAGCGCATGCTCGCTAGTGGTTAGTAAGCTGTTGACTTTGTAAAAAAGATAAAAACAGGAAAAAAAGGAAAATTAAATTGTATATTTAATGAATGAAACCTGTACAATTTGCCCCTGGGAGGAGGTCTTTTCTGTTGGGTGAGTGCAAGTGAACTTGGCCGACTTGGACACTCTGTGTAGCTTTATTTGAGTCCTCTCTTCGTCCTTTTGTTGGAGCTAATGCCAGCTGCGTGTCTAGTTTTGAGTGCAAATAGAATCAGCAAGCCACACTTCTTTTCCCTCCCTCCCCAGTACTTCCGTTTGTTTCTGTAGCAGCAGTGTACACCAACTCTCCTGTATATTGCCTTTTTGCTGGAAAATGTTGTATGTTGAATAAAATTTTCTATAAAAATTATAATCCAGTGAGTGCTGTGGAAGCCGAGGACGAGTATCCTCTCCCTGGAAACAGGCCTGGGAGCCTTGCATTGAGTCAGGGGTTGAACCACTATGTATTTTTCTCAGATATTGGATTTTTCCTTTGGGTGGCAGTTTTTTGTCTTGCACTGCAGGCCTAGAACATGCTATGTAGAACAGACTGGTCTTGAACTCAGAGATCCACCTGCCTCTGCCTCCCAAGTGCTGGGCTCAAAGGTGTGAACCACCACCCTTGGCTTCAGTTTGGTTTTGGCCTCTAACATATGAGCTTGAGAAACAAGGTTTTTGTAAGGTATCGAGGCACAGGCCTCTAGACCTAACAGGAAGCAGAGGTAGGAGTATCAGTCAACCTGTGCTACATAGCTCCTGTTGAGAGTTTGGGATGTAACTGATGGTGGAGTACTTGCCTGGTGTATGCAAGGCCCTGGGCTTCATCCCCCAGGATCTAAGGAAAACCCAAGAGTCCTCACTGGGACTGGGGAGATTGGAGGTCTCTGGCTGGGCTGTCCATGGGAGGGTACCGCTGGCCTGGTTCTGAGCCACCTGCACGCTGGCTTCCATTTTGCTTTTGCACTATGAATTGTGTGCCTTCCAATAACTTGTGTTGTACAGATCAGTGGGATAAGGAGCAGATCATGGGGGACCCTGTAGGCCTTGATCCTGCTGTGCCCTTTGGCCTTTTACAAATGAGAAGTAACTGGCAGTTATAGGCAAGGCAATGAGGACTGCTCACCAGTGTCGGCCTTTGACCTCCAAGGCTCCTGTTGGAGGGCTTGTTGGAGCTAGTCAGTCTTAGGTACCCACAATTTCTATTCCCCTTAAATATTAAATGACTATTTTTCAAAGAACTTCTTGTAGTGTTTCTTGTGTACCGCATTCATTTCCCATCCATCTTGAGTTCGTTTACCTGATTTGGGGGAAGGAAGAAGCAGACATTTTAAAATTTATGAAACAGTTGTCTTCCAGCCTGCTCCCTTTAATCCTCTGAAAATGCCGGGTCCTTTGTTCTGTGGCGGGTGACTGTTGAGGTAGGGGAGGCCTTACTACAGTGGGAGCCAGAGTGTGACCCTGGTGACGGCTTGCAGCCATGGTGGCCATGTGGTGCTCAGGACTGTGAAGCTGATCTGGTAGTGCAGACTTGAATCCCATCACTAAAGAAGTGGAAACCAGAAGATGGGGAGTTCAAAGCCATTCTTGGCTGCATAGCAGATTGTGGGACAGCCTGAATTACCTGAGACCCAGTCTGAAAATAACACGAGCATAAACCTGTGGGTGCATTGCCCACAAGGATTGTCTTCTGTAGCAGATCTGTGCATGTTGGCTCTCAGCCTTGTGGCAGTAAGGCAGTGTTACCAGGTTCCCTGTGGCTCCTTGGAGAGTCTGCTCTGGCACTAACGGGGTCTTCAAGAGCACTGAGCCAGCTGCCCTTATGATCAGTGCATCTGGCAAAGAGTAAGGTGAGGATCTTTCTTTTGTTAGGAAAGATGATCAGATACATTGATCAAAACAATGGTTAGTCTCTGCAAGGGGCATGGGGAGGGGGGTGATCCCAGATGTGAGACCAGTCTAGGCTACATAGGGCTACGACAACGGCTCAGAGAGTAAAACAAAACCTGGTATGTACCACAATGGGATAAGGGTCCCTGGGATGGGAGCCTGTAGGGGCTGATGCTGCCCCTCAGACCCAGAGTCCTGCAGCCCAACAAAATCAACTTCCTGCTTGTGATTCAGGCCCTCATCTGCAGTGGCCTGGCTGAAGTAGTCCACTGAGGATGGGCACACTCCCCCCACCCCCAGCCCCCACTCAGTGTAGGAAGCTCTAGTGCCTTCAAGCTGTATGAAGTCAAGATATGTGGAGACATTTCTCAAGGATGAGCTTTGTGGCGCTGATTCCTGCGTTGGCAATCCCCAAAAACCCTGGTGGTTAATATTGGTGCCTTTTTGAGCCACAGGGCTTTGTGGGTCTTCAGTGCCACAACCCCGACTCTCGAGTGGTTGGGTTTGGGTCCCTAGAGCTCATTCTTGCCACAGGTCTCTGCAGGACTTGCCAGCACCCTGGGTAGAAGGGAAATGTCCTGGTATATCTGGTTGAGGAAAGGCTCTAGCAGCCTCTTAATGGGGAAGAAGGTGATCAGGGACAAAGCTGTCTCCAGGTGTGGGGCCTGTGGGCCTGCCAGGCTGTTCCTGCCCCGAGCCCTCTGCTGCCGGGAATAGTTGTAGAGGCCTTGTGTCCACTCTTTGCTATGTAGTCTGTGACTGCCAGTGGCTGCGAAGCATCAGAAATGGCGCTCAGTCAGAGTTGAGCAGCGCAGCCCCAGGAGAGTTCATTTCCTGGGTAGACAGACTCAGCCAGGACAGAGTCTCTTCACATCCTTTAGTCTTACTGTTGGTGGACACGGGTAGTTGTGCACTGCTCATCTCTGGGTGGGGCCTGCAAGTTGGGGTCCCCAACTCTAGGGGAAAGCTGTATGAGAGACAGATAGTCTGCCCCTGCCAGGGGCCGCAGACATGTGGTGTTGGCTAGATGTTGGGGTAAGTGGCAGGGTCCTAGCTTGTACCTTCGGAGAGCAGTCTCCATGGAGCACCATGGTTTCTGAGGTTAGCTCACTCATCTTCCCTGTCAGTCAGGAACACTGGGCTCCTGGACATTCTAAGGTCATTTGGGGGCGTGCATTGAGGTTCATCCCTGTTGAAGGGCCAGTGTCAGCCTTACAGCTCGGTGGTGTGGACTAGAGCTAAGAGCATATCAAAAGCCGATCAGACTTCTCTCCCTTGCCCTAGTGTCACTTGCCCTTGCTCACTGTCCCTAGACTAGCTGGACGGCAGATTCCCAGGGTGGTGGACTTGTTCTGGGCCGAGCTGACAGCAGTGGCCTGGGAGTAGGCACAGAAGCCGTCCTTGGTGACAGCCGATACCAGAGCCATGCCTGTGACCACACCACACCCACCGTCTGCTTCTATGATAAGGCTGAGTGCTGTTAGGCGTACAGAATCTCTTGGCTCTGGCTCAGAGTGGGTTGGCCGGAGGGAGACAGAGGCCTAGAATGGTGTCCTCACTGGCCTCAGTACTGCTGTTGGAGCCCTCAGTGTCGGTGGCGGACACCTACAGACTGACGAAGCTAAACACTTCATTTTCAGGGAGTTTCTTCCACTTTGTGGAAGGAGATGATTTGGGGGGTCCAGGCTGTGATCACTTGCCATCTCCTACAAAGTGGGGAGGGGAGGGATCTGAACGAAGAAGGTTGGAGTTGAGTAGTTCAAGGTAAAGATGCTTCCTTCTCAAGACAGGTTCTGTCCTGAGGCTGGAAGGCCCATGCTCACTTGGCTTCCCATGTCTGGGTCTCAGAAGCCTATGTGTCAAACAGTTACTGGTAGTGTGGGCTGATGTCTGTCCTGTTACGCAGTTACGACTTGAAGCTGTAGTACATTTTATTTCTGAAGCCCCGTCTCCCATCAGTTCAGGGCCTCCCTGTGCTCTAGAAACCTGCTGGCCTGGAGCACTGTCCCTTTCAGGAATCGCCGCTCGAAATGGCAGGAGATGCCACCATCCCACTAAGCCTCTAGCCTACACTCAGTGTACCTACTCACACGTGTACACCTTTTCACGTCATGCTAATGCAGGGGCTACAGGGAGACAGACCTGAGCTTTGCTCATCTGTTGATAGTCACCAGAACAACCTGGGCCTGGGTTGCTACTGCCATCAGTTGCTGCAACACTGCCCTCTTGTGATGAGTGTGGGCATTACAAGGAATCTCAGCACAGCCCGTGTCCTTTATGTGCCTGTAGCTTCCTGTTTCCCCTTTTCCTTCAAATGCTTCCTCAAGTCTCCTCATGTCTATTTGAACAATGATAGGCAAGACAATATTTTAGTTTTCAAATTAAAATTTTCAAATTCCAGTGTGGTGGTACACACCTGTCAAACCAGCAGTCGAGGGGCTGAGTCAGGAGGTAGTGACTGCCTGAGATACACAGCAAGCTGAAGAATGACCTGGGCAATTCCGAGAATCCCTGGCTCAAAATGAGAGGGAAGCTGGGGATGTAGCTCAGTGATAGAGCACTGGCCGATGAGACACGAAGCCCTGGATCCAGTCCTCAGCACGGACTGCAGAGAGACACAAACCGACTCTCTGATACTGGGTTGCCCTACACCACCTTCCTGATCTAGCCCAGTGGGCCTTGTTTTACCCAGCTGTCTTATCCACAAGGCAGTTTGAGGCCTTTTAACAGCTGCTTCGTTCCCATTGCCCCCTGTGCACTCTGAGCCCCTAGGAGTGCACTGTACGGAGTCAATCTCACTGGGAGGAGTGCACTGTACGGAGTAAATCTCACTGGGAGGAGCGCACTGTACGGAGTCAATCTCACTGGGAGGAGCGCACTGTACGGAGTAAATCTCACTGGGAGGAGCGCACTGTACGGAGTAAATCTCACTGGGAGCTGCTCCAGAAACAGCTCAGCAAACCGCCCTGCCTCAGGGCCACCAGGGTGGCAGACTGGGAGAGTGGCAGCATGGAGAATGCAGACTAGACGGATAGGTCATAGGTCGGTGGGCTGTCCCAGGGTGCGCAGGGATGGAGTCAAGAGAGGGCAGGAAGCAACTCACACATGGCCTCGGGTGAACTCCAGGTGCATGGGGTAAGTGAATGCCAGTTTCTCCTCCCACTGCTGTGATGGAACTGCGCACAGGAAGGATGGGAAGAAAACGGGTTTGTCTTAGCTCACAGTTCCTGGTGGGGAAGTGGAGCAGCAGTGGCCTGAGAGAGCCAGTCACATGACCTCACAATCCGGAAGCAGAGAATGACGAATGTGTGCTGCAGCCCCAGTTCTCTTTCTCCAGGATCCCAGCCAGGGAACGGTGCCTCCCACAGAGGGCAGGCCCTGCCCCCTCAGTAGATAACAACCGGAACCCCCACAGCAAGGCTCGTCTCCCACACAGTTCTGTATTTTGTCAAGTTGACACCATTGCAACATTTTTTTTTAAAGGACAGGTGTTTACTATGTGAGACTGGCAATCCTTCTGACTCAGCCTCCCAAGTAAGTGGTGAGTTCTTATCCATGTTAATTACTTCGCCCTGTTAGCCATGGACTGATGGCTGGTGAGGAATGGAAGGAGCAGTAGGAAGAGCCAAGTAGGAGATGAGGGGAACAGATTTTGAGTGAGTGGAAAGGACAGAGAACAGGGGCTGCATCTGAGGTGTCTGGGAGAGAGGAGGTGGCCATGCCCTTTCCGTGCACCCCGCCTACAGGAGAGGAGTCTCTTCTAAGACCTACTGCAGGGCCCCATCCCCGTTTTGCATGTGTAATTACAATATGTGGGTACACCTGTGTGAGTGGTCATGCACATGTATGCACAAGGCTGATGTGAGCAATCATCTCAAACCTACCTGACAGTACGGGTGTAGGAGGAGAGCCTGCTTGTTTGTCCTGACCACCCAGAACCGAAATAACCACACAGAAACTGTATTAATTAATACAGTTGCTTGGCCCATTAGCTCTAGCTTCTTATTGGCTAACTCTTACATTAATTTAACCCATCACTATTAATCTGTACAACAGGAAAGATTCGGCATGTCTGACTTTGGCGGCTCCATAACATCTTTCCGACTCCGCCCTTCTTTCTCCCAGGATTCAGTCCAATCCTCCCTGCCTACCTAAATTCTGCCCTATCAACAGGCCAAGGCAGTTTTTTTTTTTTATTCACTAATGGTAATCAGAGCACACAGAGGGGACTCCCACATCATTTAGGCAGGGTCTTTCAAACCCAGAGCCTTCTAATAAGGCTGGGGGTCCTCTGCCTCTGACTTCTGAGGCTGGAATTACAGGTGAACCATCTTGCCCATCCTAAACTCTGGTGCTTATATTTGTGAGGCAAATGCTTTTCATTGTGGGGTCATCTCCCCAGCCCAGGATGCTGGTTTCGCTGGATGCCTCAGGCATCTAGGGGAGAAGGTTGTGGCGTACCAGAGGGGAGGACAGAAGTCTAGAGAGATGGGGGAAGGAGCCTTGAACAAAACTGAGGACAAAGCAAACTGAGGAAAACTGCTGGAAGGTGGCCAGAGGACCTCTGCAGCCCACGGGGCACAGAGGATCCAGACTGCAGAGACCCACGGCAGATAGGGAAGAAAGGACAATGCTCTCTTGATATTGCTGTAAGGGATGGAGCACACTGGTTCCTGGGGAAAGGGAGAGCGGGTGTGAACCTGCATTGGGTTGGGGGTTATATAGATGAGGGTGTGGTAACAGGTTTTCCCAAAGAGGTAGAAACTGGAACTGATGGGAAGGGCCTGGAAAGAGATGGCTGGTGGAGTGTGGCATCTGTAGTCAGAGGAAGCTGAACCTGGAGATGGGTGGGTATGCCCTCCACCCTTCCCCAAGGAGATATCAACCAGCACATGCTGGGACCCAGGCATGCACGGGTGCCATCCATAACCCATGGACAGAACAGAGGAGGGTGGAGGATGTTGCCACTCCCCCCACCGCCCGCTGGATGAGTGTACAGGGGCACACATACACACCGCTGGCTGAGCATGCAGGGGCCCACATATACACTGATGAGTATACACACTGGATGAGTGTAGGGGGGTACACATACACACTGATGAATATACACACTGGATGAGTGTGCAGGGGCACACATACACACCGCTGGCTGAGCATGCAGGGGCCCACATATACACTGATGAGTATACACACTGGATGAGTGTGCAAGGGCACACATACACACCGCTGGATGAGTGTGCAGGGGTACATATACACTGATGAGTATACACACTGGATGAGTGTGCGGGGGGCACACATACACACTGATGAGTATACACACGGATGAGTGTACAGGGGCACACATACACACTGATGTTTCATTGCTGTTTATAGTGCAAGTTTCAGGCGATGGTGGTGGAAGAGTTCCTGCTGGCACACGGGACAGGAGTGACTCACGTCCATGAGGCTCCTCACAAAGAAGGGGAGGAAGCAGCAGCCCAGGAAGCCCCTGCAGCCTCAGAAGCAGTGTGCTCACCTGAGCAGAGGTCCCTGAGCTGGCCTGTACCTCATCACCCCTGAGTAGAGGTCCCTGAGCTGGCCTACACTCTTATCACACCTCTTGGTGGGCCTCAGTTCCTTGGAGTGGTTCTGCAGAGCAGGGCTGAGAGCCATACTGTGCCTTCTCTTTCTTGACAGTAGTGGTGATGCCAACCTGTCTGGCCACTTGCCTAGTAGGCAGGCATTGCCCATCCCCATTCCCATCCTCTGCTTGGGAGGCAGAGGGCCATCTTCTCCAAGCGCAGTCTGGGGCCTCCCTCTGTTCAAAGTTCTCTCTGTTACTCTAGCTGTCTCCAGCTGCATCTCAGTCCCACCCCTCCATACTACTTACCCAAATACAAAGAGGCCACCGCATAGCACCCAGGTGAGGACGCCTGGGACAGGGGTTGTCACCGTGACGATCTGCTTCCCACAGCAGGGACATACGGTCTGCATTGGCGTGGAAGTTGTCATCCTCGGGCCGATAGCGAACACTCCTGGGGAAGGGATGGGTCAGATCAGACCCTCTTCCTCCTTTCTCCAGCACCCTCTGCCTGGACACCCCTCTTCTGTCATGACTCTTCTTCCCCGTGCTCATCTATGCACCCAAAGCCACCACGCACCTGCCCATCGGCCATATGATCTGTCCTAATTAAAACCAGCCAACCAAAGTGAGGACAGGGCCTAGGAACCGTGGAGCCCTTCTGCTTCTAAGCATGGCCTCTTCCCCTTAGGGGGTTCTCTAGCACAGCCTGCCAGACTCAGCCAGCCCATTGTCTTTCACTCCTTGCATTAGCTCATTTCCAGGCCCTGTGGCTAGAACACCCTTAAAGCTGGTGTATGAGAGAAAAGAATGAGCATACATGCACATAAGCACACACACAAGCATCTCACCTTTCCTGCCTCTTTTGGCACAGCTTGCCAGCTCTTTTTTTTTAATTTAAATGTTCATTGGTGTTTTGCTTGCATGCATGTCTGTGTGAGTATGTCAGATCCCTGGAACTGGAGTTATAGGCAAATGAGAGCTGCCATGTGGGTGCTGGGCATTGAACCCAGGTCTCTTAACTGCTAAGTCATATCTCTCCAACCCCTCCCTAGCTCTTGTGCACCAGGCATGCATCTAGTATATAAACAGACATGCAGGCAGAACACTCATACATGTAAAATAAATCTAAATGTAAGCAGAATTCTGGAAGGAGCTGGGTATATAACTCAGTGTTAGAGCGCTCGCCTAGTGTGTCCCCTTCACCAGCGCCATAATAACAAGACAATAAGAGAAGTGCAGACAGCAACAGAAGCATGCTGTGTGCTTTGGGGATCTGAAGGAGGCGTTTGGGGTCAGGTTTGGATGACCTCGGGTTTGTTATAGCAAGGTGAAACTGACCTACACAGTCTAACCTGTCAATCTTGAGTGCCTGGGAATTCCTTGGGACACTGGTTTAGAATCTCAAAGCCCTGGATCAGCTTAGGGACTCTATATCCTCCTCATCTGTGCACTAAGTGCTTACGCTTGCCTTGCCGGTATTCATTTCATAAATACTGCTTGAGCACCTCCTGTATATCAGCTCCATCCCCAAGATTCTACAGTAAGCTGGGCGGTGGTGGTGGCGCAGCCCTTTAAACCCAGCACTTGGGAGGCAGAGGCAGGCAAATCTCTGTGAGTTCGAGGCCAGCCTGGTCTACAGAGCTAGTTCCAGGACAGGCTCCAAAGCTACACACAGAAACTCTGTCTTGATAAATCAAACAAAAGAAAAGAAATGCACAGTAGAAAAGGTGCCCCAGAAGCCCTTGGCACTGCACCAACCCCATGTGGGCAGTGTGAGGCCCAGGCAGCCTTGGAACTTCAGCTCTTGGGCTGTGGGAGGAGGGATCACCAGAGAAGGTGCTGTCTGCATTGGACTTAGTAAGCAGCCTTCTGGTAGCCAGAGCCCAATATGAGGAGGAGAGACAGAGACTTACTGGACCGGATCCCTTGTGGACCTTGGCCATATACAAGGTTTGCTTCTGGGCCTTGACAGTAAGGAGGAGGTGGTTCCTTGCAACACCGACAATAGTCTGAAAAAGAAAAGAAGCAAGGGTCCAGGTCTCAGATGTGCCACCACGGAGCCACCACACGGCAAGCACTGCTGCCAGGAACAGAGTTGCCCACAGTTATACAGACAGAAGGTGGAGGGGCCAGGGTTTGAACTCAGACCCCTCTAACTCCACTTCTGCCCTCCTTGTCCACAGGGATCTGAAGTGTGACGTGGCTTAGGGTCACACTCTGTGCAAACAGGTAACACAGTTCACCATGTCCCCGTTCACCAATTCACCAACGAAGCATCGTTCGAATTTTGCAGGTGGGGAGATGAGGTTCAGAAAGGTTGAAAACCTTGCCTGAGGTCACTTAGTAAGTAAGTACGAGGCAGGTTTCTGATCAGACGCAGGGACCTAACCTCAGCACAGGCTCTGAAGCCAGGATATGTGAGCTCCATCCGAGGCTCTGAGGCTTTCCGTGGCAGGGAGGAAGTTGAGATGAGGTGTGTGTCTCCTAGGCTCACTGGGAACATCTGACCTTTTTGCCTCTACCTATCACAGGCCTGCGCCTCCATGTTGAGTTTCTGCAGTACTGAAGGTCAAACCAAGGGCTTCCTGGATGCTAAGCAGGCGCTCTGCCAACTGAGTGGCATCTCCAGCTTTGATTGCTTTGATTGCTTTTGTTTGTTTGTTTGTTTTGTTTTTTTTTTGTCCTCAAATGTTGAGATTACTGGTGTAAGCTCTCTCACCCAGAACGAGCCACCATGGTCTTCATGTGGATGGGCAGTAAGGTCCCCACTAAACTTTCATACACAACCTTGTAGGTGCCTGCTAGGGACTGGGGCTTGATCCCCAAGGACCTGGCCTCTTTCAGGAAAGGAGCTAGTAGCTAGAGGTGGCACTCTGGGGTCTCTCCACTCAGAGCCCCTCCCCCCAGAGCCTCCTCTCTCAGTTTTCTTTATTGTCTCCTCTTAGATCAGTACTAAGCAGGCAGCCGCTAACCACGGTCCTACCGCCTCCTAAGACACTCTGAGGACAAGAGGTGTCTTAGCTGTGTTGGCCAAGAAGATGTCTGGGGTAGTTTTCAGGTTTCTTTTTCTTTCTTTCTTTCTTTCTTTTCTTTTCTTTTTTTTTTTTTTTTCCAGAGAAGAAACCAAAGTCACCCCATCTCAAACTGGGCCAGTGCCTCGCCGAATAAACCAGATCCTTATTTTGTTTTATGTGGGATAGGATCTCTCTATGAAGTCTTGGAACTCAGTATGTAGACTAGAGATCCACCTGCCTCTGCCTCCTGAGTGCTGGATTTAAAGCAGTTGCCTCTACACCCTGGCTCCTCTTGACCATTTACGTGGAACTGGCAGGAATTCCAATGAGAAAAGTTCAAAGGGGTCAGACATCTTCCCAGGCCACCTTGACATGTGGGCGGCTCCACATGCGCCCCCGCCCCCCCCCCCCGCCTGTGTGCGGTGCCATCCAGAGGCTGTATTGACGTGGGCGCCATTAGTATCACTTGGCAGATTCTGTGTGATGGAGAGGAGAGAGAGGAGAGAGGAGAGAGGAGAGAGGAGAGAGGAGAGCGAGAGCGAGAGCGAGAGCGAGAGCGAGAGCGAGAGCGAGAGCGAGAGAGAGAGAGAGAGAGAGAGAGAGGTTAGAGGCCTAACCCAGCAACCTACGGGTCACCTGGGTAGTAGGGACCAGGGAGACTTAGGGGAGGAGACACGATCAGCCCCCAGACCAACTTGTACCCCCCCCCCCCTCTGGCTTCCCAAGCCTTCTAGCTCCTGAGGGCGGTCCCTCACCACGGAAGCGGTAGCGGTCCTGCTTCCTGTCCCGGTCCCGGTCCTGCTTCCGGTTCCGGTCCCGGTCCCGGTCCCGGTCCCGGTCTCGTGCCATCTTCTCTTTTAGAAGCACACTCCTCAAGCAGTTTCCTTGGGTTCCAGGTTCTGTTCTGAATGGACAGGCTCTTGGATCCAGAAGTCCCCTCGGAGAGGCCTCACTGGGGAGACAAGGCCTCTTACAGCTGCCTGCACAGCCATTGTGATGTCTTTAACACATAGACCAAGGGCTCTTGTCTCTACTTCCTGCAGGAGGGCTGCCTGCTTATGGCTCAGCTTGAAGGACCCCTCCATACTCCCTCCAGCAGGTTGAAGCTTTGTGAGCTAGGCCAGGAGACCAGCTAAGACCCTGAGTGGTGTGAGTACTGATAGGGGCATCCAGCACCGTCAGGTCCTTTTGACTAGAATGTAAGGTAAGTATGGAACCAGGCCTAGTATCACTGACCTGTGATACCAGCACTTTGGAGGCCAGGCAGAGGTCAGAAAACTCAAAGGCATTCTGGGGGTTCGTATTGAGTCCTTGTCACCAAAAAAAAAAGAGGAAAGGAAGAAAGAAAAGGAAAAGGGAGGGGGGGCATGTGTTGTCACCAATACATACCTATACCTATAAGCCCAGTGTTTGAGAGGTAGAGACAGGAGTTCACTGCAAATCTGAGTTCAAGGCCAAGTGGGGCTGAGTCTATGTAGTGGGCTTCAGGCCAGCCTGGGCTACATAGAAAAAAAAATCTATTTCAAACCACCAACAACAGCCGAGCGGTGGTGGCACCTTTAATCCCAGCACTCGGGAGGCAGAGACAGGTGGATCTCTGTGAGTTTCAGGCCAGTCTGGTTTACAAGAGCTAGTTCCAGGACAGGCTCTAAAACTACAGAGAAATCCTGTTTTGAAAAACTTAAAAAACAAAAAACAAACCAACAACAAAAGCCAAACCAAAAAAAAAAAAAAAAAAGCAGGGTTAGAAAAGTGGCTCGGTTTGTAGAGTGCTTGCCAGGCAGGCACAAAGGCCAGGGTCTAATCCTCAACACGGTTTAAGCTGTGTGTGGTGGCATATACCCATAAACTAGCCAGAGAGGTGGAGGCAGGGGAATCGGGCCCAGGTCATCTCCAACTGCACAATGAGTTCAAGGCCAGTGTAGGCTACAGGAGACCCTCTCTCAAAAAAACAAAAATAAGAAAGATATGGTCACAGTGTGCACACATACATATATGTAAACCTGCGTGTGCCTTTTCTGAGTTCAGTCACCCTCTCTTGCTGACTTAGCTCAGGAACCCACGGCATGCCTGCCTCTCTAGACCTCTGCCCTCACCTAGCATCTGTAGAAGGAATATAGTATCAGCAGCTTTGAGGGGTTTTGTTTGTAGGACAGGGCCTTGAACTTATGTAGCCTAAGCTGGCAGGGAACTCAATCTTCCTGCCCCAGTTCCCAAGGGCAGAATTAAAGCTGGGAAGCCCTTCTCCCCAGTAATTCTAGATGTTGTCAAGGTGGTGCCGTACCCAGCTTTCTCCATGCTGGGGATCCCAGGCTAGGCAAGCACTTGACCCACTGAGCCGCATCTCCAGCATGGATAGCTGACTCTTGTTGGCCATCTTTTGCTATAAGGGACTTAAGCATCCAAAGATGGTGGGGGGAAGGGGTGGTCATGGAGCTAGTCCCTATCAGGTGCTTAGAGACAGCTGTACAGCAAAATGTTGGTGAGGGTGGAACTGAGTTGGTAGGTGTGTGAACTGCCCAGAGAACATCTATTTCAGTATCTGTACAGCTGAATATTTGAAATTAAATCTAATGTACAGAGCAGTGGTCATTTGAAGTTTGTGCTATCAGACAGGACTCTAACTTGTTATCCTTGAAGATGACCTTGAACTCTTGACCTTCCTGCCTTCACCTCTGGAGTGCACCACCACGACTGGCTTGGTCCTGAGAATGGAGCCCAGGGTCTTGGGCACACTGGGTGTCTTAGTTTCGTTTTTGTTGCTGTGGTAACAAACAGACGGCCAAAAGCAAGGAGAAAAGGTTCTTTTTAGTCCAAGGGACAGTCCGCCACGGCGAAGTCATTAGCTCAAGGGACAGTCCCCCATGGTGGAGGAGTCAAGGTTGCTAGAAGCAACTGGCCGCATCAAATCCGCAATGAGAAGCAGAATGATATGATCAACAGTTTTTGTTTTTTTGTTTTTCGAGACAGGATTTCTCTGTAGCTTTGGAGCCTGTCTTGGACTCACTTTGAAGACCAGATTGGCTTCAAACTCACAAAGATCTGCCTGCTTCTGCCTCTTGAGTGCTGGGTTTGACGGCACGCACCACCACCCCGGTGATGATTAACTCTTTATGTCTACAGTCCAGGATCCTGCCAGGGAATGGTGTCACCCACTGTGGGCAGGTCTGCCCACTCCAATCAAGGTAATCCAGACATTCCCCACAGGAGTGCTCAGAGATCTTTCTACTGTGTGAACACTGAAAACACTAGCCACCACACCAGACAAGCCCCTGCCAGACGAGCTACGCCATCTTCCTTAAGCCCTTGAGTATTTTATGATAATAAAAGTTTAAAAATTTAAACAAATAAATGAGAAAACCAAAACTAATTCCTAACAACAGAAGCAGCAGCAAGTAGAGCAAGCAGGATGCCAATTTTATATTACCTTTTCCTTTGTTTTGTTTTATTTTAGATCAAGTCTTGCTGTGTAGGTGAGGCCTCCCTCAAATTTGTGGCAATCCTCCTGTTTCAGCTTTTGAGTACTGGATTACATTTTTGATTCCATAGCATGATTAATAGGGTCAAAATGGAGTGCTGTCCCAGGTTAGGCCACCCCAAACGTTCTTTTGCGGGGCTTTGGGAATAAAAAGTCAGGGAGGCTGTTTAGTTTCCGCTCTTGTTAACTTGGACATGTAAACCTAGTGGGTGGAGGGTGACTGGTAGATTGTTGAATGCAAATGAATGAATGAATGAATGAGATGTACACCCCCACCACAGAGCACTCCATTCTACCTGGAATCACCTGGATGTCGCTGTCCAAGGTCTAGGGTGCTGGTGTCCACTGGAATCTTGGGATAGAATTATGGGCTGCTCTCTCTAAGGATCTTGTTTTTGACACCACAGGGTCTCATATATCCCAGGCTGGCCTCAAACTCACTGTGTAGCCAAGGATGCCCTTGAACTTTTTTTTAAAAGTTATTTATTTACTGTGTATACAATATCTGCCTATGTGTGCCTGCATGCCAGAAGAGAGCACCAGATCTCATTCCAGATGGTTGTGAGCCACCACGTCGTTGCTGGGAATTGAACTCAGGTCCTCTGGAAGAGCAGCCAGTGCTCTTAACCACTGAGCCATTTCTCCAGCCCCAAAGTGAAATAACTCTGTGTGTGGGGGGGTTGAGACAGGGTCATCCTAGAACTCACTTTTGTAGACCAGGCTGGCCTCAAGCTCACAGAGACCCTCCTGCCTCTACCTCCCGAGTGCTGGGATTAAAGGTGTGCACCACCACTGCCTGCTCTTGAACTTTTGACCCTCCTGCCTTCACCCTTCCAAGTGCTGAGAGCGTCACCACTCTTGGTTTTGTGCAGTGCTGGGGATCTAACCCAGGTCTTCATAAATGCTATGCGCGCTCTCTACTGACTGAGCCACATCCCTAGCATGAGGATTTTGAGGGCCTCATCCCCTCTAACATAGTTGTGGGTCTCATGAGCTGAGAATGAACTGGAAAGTCTTGAGTATGAACAGAAGCTGGGAGACAAGATGATGTGCCCTAACAATTCTACTCCTCACCACCAGGGGGAAGCACCAGCATGCCATGAGTCAACCTAGGGCTCTCAATTGTCTTGGTGGTAATTAGGTAAAGAAGTCCTAAGAGGGAGTCAGCCTAGCATCAGGAACTGGATCTCACCCTGCTAGGCACTCAGAACACAGAGCCTCAAGAGAGAGCCGTGCACAGGACTGGTTAGGCTCTTTGGGCCTCCTCTTGAGGGCCCAGACCTCAAATGGTTTATTGTTTTGTTTTTCGATGGGTTTCAGTTCATGCTCCCTAAAGCCTACTTTGCAGCTGAGGATGACCTTGAACTCGTGATGCTCCTGTGTCTACCCCCTAGGTGCTGAGACTACAGGGGCCATATGGATCAAGCATTCTAGCTAAGTACTAGTGAGCCACATGCCTCGTTCCTGTTGTTTTAACCTTTTCTCTCCCAAAACAAGGCCTGGCCTAGAGGAGAAAGGTGGTTAAAGTCTGGGTTGTGCCACTACCAGCTGAGGGAGCCCTGCTGAGCATCTCCATTTCTGAGCCTGAAAAGTGGGTCTGGTAATAGCTCCTGCCAGGAATGGTATGAAAATGCGATGACCTCATATTTGCTTTTGGCTGATATGTTGTCACGTGCATGTGTTCATACTGTGTGTGTGCCTTTTCACATGTGTGTGCTTACCTGCGAGCGCATATTTTTCTGTTGAGACCCAAGGCTGACATTGGGAGTCTTCCTTGATCCCTCTGGGTTTTAGTCATTGATGCCAGGCCTCTCAGCTGGACCAATAATCCACTAATGAGGGTAGTCCAGCTGGTCTTGTTGCCCTTGCCTCCACCTCCTAAGTGCCGGAATTACAGGCAGGCTGTCACGCCACCTTGGTATTTACATGGTATCTTAGATATTTTCTATTGCCATGACAAAATACCTTGACCAAAGACACTTTTTTTTTTTAAAAAAAAAAAAAAAAAACAGGTTTCTCTGTTGGTCCTGGAACTCACTCTGTAGACCAGACCAGGATGACTTGGAACTCACAGAATTATCCCTGTCTCTGCATCCTAAGTGCTGGGATTAAAGGTACGCACGACCATTGCCTGGTCAAAGCAGCTTCTTTTCTATCTTCTCTCTCTCTCTCTCTTCCTTATTTTTTTCTTTTTTTAAATTTCATGTGCTTTGGTGTTTTGCCTGCATGTATGTCTGGATCTGCCGGAACTGCATGCGTGTCTGCATCTCCCGGGACTGCATGCGTGTCTGGATCTCCTGAAACTGGAGTTACAGATAGTTGTGAACTTCCCTCCATGTGGGTGCTTGGAATTGAACCTGGGTCCTTTGGAAGAGCAGTCAGTGCTCTTAACCACTGAGCTATCTCTCCAGCCCCCAAAGCAACTTCTTAAAGAAAACATTTAGTTTGGGGCTCATGGTTACAGAAGGTTAGAGTCTATGACTATCATGGTGAGGAG